TCAGTTTAGTAGCTAGGGCGTTGAAGTGTTGAAGACTTTCCGGGTTTGATTTGTTGGTGTCTAAGATCAGCCGAGCCGAAGGTTTGAACAACAGAAGGTTATTCAATAAGGTGGCTGGAATCGGAGGTCATTCACAACAAATTGAAGGGCTTGATTCATCTTGAATCAAGGTGCAAGAAGTGATAGCAAGCATCAACATCATTTGAGATTGTTTGTATCATTGTCTATCAACTCTTATGTAAACTGTTCATTCCAATAGGTGATATATATTCAATATATCTCAATTCTAGTTTTAGAATTGAGGGCAGACGTACCCCTAAGCGAGGACGACGGGGGAACTGCCTCATCAAATCGTGTGTTCTTTAGTTTCTGTCATTTTCAATTCAGCTTATAAAATAAGTGATTCTAGCTTAAGTGATTATTGTCAAACTGTGATACAAATTGAGTAAGGTGTTGAAACTCTGTTTTTAACTACTAAGTACAATAAAGATATTGTACTAGGGCATTTCCAATCTTTTACTCAACATAAATATCCTTTGAGGTATTTGTGCACACAAACTGTTCGACAAAAGTCCTGAACTAAAATTGTCTTATTTTGCTTCTAGTTTTTGTGTGTCCTGTTAATCATTGGAACTAGGTAACCTTGCAAATTGAAGTAAATAACTGATAAGCATAGTTTGTGTTGTGATTCTATTTTTTCCAAATTGTCATAAATCCATAGGCTTACGTATATCCGGTTTTCCAATAACCGTTCGTTTTAGACTATATTTTTCCTCGACCGCTTCCGCACTTAAAACATTTTTAAAACCAATTTTAAATTGGTAGCGCCGACTCAAATTTTAATTGGGGATCTATTCAACCACCCCCCCCCCCTTCTAGATCCGTGCCATAGTCTAACAAAAACAAGTATTGAGACAACTTTCCCTCACACCAAGTATTGTTCTTCTCATTAGATTTGAGCTCCTCCTTCATAGCACAGATCCATTTTAGAACACTTAAAGCCTTTTCTGTTTTAATAGGTTTGGATTCAGCTATAAATGCAAAATGGACAAAATCACCATCAACATTGACTTTGTAGTCTCGGAACATCTCACAATCGTAGATTTTTTGAGGAAAACCTTTTGACTTGTTGATCTTCTCACATTCTCTTTTATGCACTTCACGTATCAGCAGAATCTGAATTTTCAAAGTCGTATCTGGTTAAAGCTTTTACATGACCGATTATAGGCTGCTACAATTGCTTTATCTCCTAAAAAACGACGTCTCGGCTGATCAAAACCATTTTGTTTCCTGTATCAAAAAAATTGTAACCACAGGTAGAGTGACACCCTACAAGTATCATCATTTCTCCCTTATGATACAACTTCTTTCTAAGCTGCCCCAGAACATATTGACACACTACAAAACTAAAAATTCTCAGATGATGCAGATTCTATTTGAATCTCGACCATGCTTCCTCCGGTGTTACCTGCTTAAGTTTCTTTGCGGGACACCTATTTAACAAATAAGCAGTTGTGGATACCTCTTTTCCCTATAACTTGTTTTGCATGTTTTTCCCATTTAACATGTTTCTTACCATGTTCATGATCGATCAATTTTTTCCTTTTGGAAACACCATTTTGCTGAAGTGTATAAGGTGGTACAATCTCATGTACAATCCCTTCTTGATCATAAAAACTCTCAAAGTCTTTTGAGACATACTCTTCTCCCCCATCTGTTTTGAGCACTTTGAGCTTGTGATCGCTTTGCCACTCAACCATGGACTTGAACTTCTTAAACACTTAAAATACCTCATATTTTCTCTTGATTTGTCATGTTCATAGTTCTTTACTATGATCATCAATGAATTTACCAAAACAACTATTAACATCAATTAAATCTACTTGCATCGGTCCGCACACATTAGAATACACCAACTCAAGGTGATTCTTGATTCTACAATCTGCATCCTGTCTGAATTTATCCTTATATTGCTTCACTTGCATACATTCTTCACAAATTATAGTCGGTATGTTACCATTTTATTCTTTTGCAAGTCTTTGAGATCTCGAAAAATGAGATGCCTAAGACAATAATACCATATCCACTCTTCTTGACTTGTTTCATAGAAAGACATCTATGCTCCATAGGAAACCATAGGAGCTTTAAGGACCAAAACCTTATTTTCATTCATAAAGCGCAACCGATTGTTTTCAATGTGAATCTTGTAACCCTTCTCGAGCAATTGGCCAATACTTAGAAGGTTACATTTGATTTGTGGATTGTATAATACATATTTGATCAAGGGATGTCCACCATCCCTTCTCTTGATCAAAACATCATTGATCGCATTGGCCGCTAGAGTGGTGTCATTCACGAACTTCATATTTTTCTTCATGGCACCATTGACTTTAACAAACAAATCCTTCCTTCCTGTCATATGCGTATAATATCTGGAATCCAAATGTCATTCTTCGTTGCATTAGACTCCTTCTCTCACAGTCACCATAACATTTTATTCTGCATGTAATCGGTTACAACTTTCACGTAACCGGTTACTACATATTTTTGCAGCAATCCCAGAATTGTTGTTATTCTTGTCCCACAACCTGCTTCTACTACAGTCGTCTTTTGAGATCATGACCAAGAACGTGTTCTCCATGAGGTTCCTTCTTGTTTACATTGCATTCTCTTGCAATATGACCAAACCTTTGACCCTTAAGATAATGTTATTTGCTTTTGTCAAATTTCTTCTTTTCATCTCTAAAGTTGTTATGACCACCATTTTTTTGCAACTGCTCTCAACCCTTTTCCAACTCGAATTCTTGGAAATTTGGGACTCTTTTCCACCAAAATTATAAAAATTCTCTTTAGTCTACATGAACCATTTTCCTTTCGATCTCTTGTCATTCTCGTTGAAGCGAGCTTGCCAAGTAATCTCTATCTTTTCCTAATCATTATTTCTTTCATGCATCCTTTGCACATAAGTCTCAAAAGAGCTTTGCAACTCCTCTTTGCTCATCGTCGCAAGATCCTTCGATTCTTCAATCTCTACAACCACGGTGTCAAATCTTGGCATTAAAAACGCAAGATTTTTACGACAATAGCTCCATGCCTGTTACTCCACATGCCCTCACTTGATTCACCAACCGAGTGATTCTCACCGTGAAATTGTTGATTGTATTACTTTCTTCCATTTGAATCAATTCAAGTTGTCACTTGTGAGTTTGTAACCTCACCACCTTCGCTTTTCTAGACTCTGTGTATGCCTTGTATAAGATTTCCCACGCTTGCTTTGATAATTCATAATAACTAACATTCTCAAAGTTTTCACCATCCACACATTGATGGATCATAAACAATGCTTTGAAATCTTTCTTCTTCCACTACAAGAAAAACGATGGATTGTGATGGTTATTTTGGCAGGTTACGACGGTTAAAACGACCACCAATTACATTCTACGACGGTTGTAGTACCGTCTCAGAAACGTGTGTCCCCAGGCTGTTTAGCGACGGTTGAAAAAACCGTCACACACAACCGTCGTTATATTTCACGACGGGCTTGAACTGACCTAAACTGGAGATAGCGACGGTTAAAGACTGTCGTTACTAGCCTTTTGATTTTTATTTTCATTATTGATTGTGACGGTTTAAAACTGTCGTGAACTCTATTTCACGACTGGTTGGAACTGACATAAATTGGAAATGACAACAGTTAAATACTGTCGTGAATATCCTTTTGATTTTTGTTACCATTGTTGATTGTGACGGTTTAAAAATGTCGTGAATGTGATATCTTGACGGTTCATTATTAATTTTTATATATTGTATTATATTGTTTTATAATATATTCTTTTATTTAAATTATTATCTACTAAAATAGTTATATTATTTTTTATTTAAATTATTTATACAATAATACTTTTATTTATAGTTTTTTTTAATTTTTTTCTATCGCTTTTTAGCATAGTAAAATTAATTCCAAAACTTAATATCAAATAAACATTATAATATCGAAAAAACGTGAGTTTCATAATAATGTAAAATGAAAGTTCCATAATCATGTCATGTAATACAAAAATCCGAAAACATATCAAATCATAATCTTATAAAATAAGTATCATTGTGCCAAAAATGAATACAGAATTGTCATCAAATTTTACAAGATCTTGTGAAGCTGCTGCGACCTCAGAAGCCTTTACTAATAGATCAGCTGCAGGCGAAAATCCGACAACCCTTCTCACAATAAGGTGGCGATAGTAGTCCTGGACAACCTGAAATTTCAAAAATTAAATGAATGAAGATTAACCATCACAACTCCTTATTGTTTTGCCAACACAAAAAAAATTATCGAAATAAAAAATGGATTAAAAAATAATAATATTGATGGGTTATTAAAATTTGGGGATCCCGTTCATGAAAAGAGTATTCCCATTCATAGTAAATATAAATTTTGTTCATTTTCAGCAACAAACTTACCCAAAACCATGATATGTAAATTAGAGCTGCAAAATCTACAAAACTTCAATAGTACTAGTGATAAAAAGAAATACAAGCACTCTCGGCCGAATTGACTTTACATATTCATATGCAGCATCAGGTGACATCAATTTGTAACTAAATCAGGGAAAAACGTCAAAAACAGTAACAAACAAGTGTATAATAACTAAATTGTAATGAGGAGCATAGTTATTACAAGCCTACGATTAGATGAATTTTATAACTACTCTGAGTTCTATTTAGTTTTACCCGGAAGTGAGAGGTGAAAAGACTTTAAGAAGGGTAGAAAAATACAGTTACAAATGAGCATAATTACTAAAGTTAAAATGAGAAACATTGCTATTATAAGCCTACCAGTAGATGCATTTTACAACTTCTATTATTATTATTAATAATTATTTTTACCAGGGAGGAGGATGGTGGAAAGAAGTAAAGCTCAAGACTATAAAATACACTGCACAAAGTATACAAAGAAACATCCAACACATAATATCTAATCAGGTCAAGAACTACGCAACATTCTAAATTTTCACCAAACTTGCAGTTTCAGGACATACCTTACGATATGAATGTAGAAGTGTTCTTTCTAGTTTCTTGTCAAGCTTTTTCAAAGGCAGCCCACTGGAAAAATTAATCACAAAAGGTTTCACGTCAAGACAAAAGCTTTGGTAAAAGCAATGCCATAAGTACAACTAACAAAAAAGACACGTTAATACCTCTCTTCTGTCACAGCTTTGAATGAAGACATGAATGTTTCCACCCTCTATTGTATTGAATATTCAAATATTAGTTGCAGCATCAAAAATCAAACAGAAAAAATAAGTTTCAAACTATAACAAGATATTTCCAGCCAACCAGCTGCAATTGTGAACTAATAAATGATTGAGTGAACCTATACAATAAGCCTTAACCATAATGTTTCAGAAATAAAAATGCTAACCTTTCCTTCCAATGCTTCTACAACAGCAAGAGCCTTATTTGCAAGAGCTCCTGGAAAACTCTTGGACTACAAAAGAAAATAACAATAAATGTAATATTTGAAGTCATTTTATGTGTTCCACAAAAGAAGATGGTTTACAAATATCTAAGATTCTATATACTAAAAGCATCAAAATAGAAAAGCATAACTTTCCAAGTAATGCAATATTGAAAACCTAATATAGCTATTGTTCACATTCAAAATAGAATTAAACATCATTGTATCATAAAACTCATTGCATCTTAAGATTGATAGTATCATGTGAAATTATGTTTGCTTTGATTAAACTTGTAAAATGTATTCATTCTGATTCTGATTATAGACATCATTATGCAGAGTATTATCATTTCATATTTTGCTCTCAAGTCTTACAATTGCAGCTCTATCTCCAGGACTAAACGAAATAGACTCAGAATTTGGAGATTCCTGCACTTCTACTCCGTTCTTTAATTTGTTGTGCTCATCCTGCAAAAGGATGAATCCATAGTGTTTTTAGATCTTATTAAACCTCAAGAAATATCAACAGAATAATTGTTGTATATAATACCAAGTCATGTAGAAGCATGTCAACCATAGGAGCTGCTACTGTCCTTAGTAAATGCCTATGCAAAACAACCTGGGCATCAAAGATACATTAACTTACTCTTGTTTCAATAGTGAAAATAACATCTTCAAGTTTCAATTAACTTGACTTACAGAAGTTGATTGGTCATCTTCAAACAATTCTAAGGCTTTTTCATACAAACGCATGTTTAAGAAAGACTGCCAAAAAACAAATCACACAAGGACATGTTCAGATAAGTATCCTCTAAGGAAAGATAAGAAAAGTTACAAACATGGACACAATGGATGAAGAAAGTACAAAAAGATACTACAGAGCAGTTAAACCTCATCAAGTTTTTTCTGCAAATTATCAAGCAATTGTTTCATTCTTTCTGCATTGTCTTTAAACAATGCCTTCCTATGAATCGTGTCAGGATCATCAAAGGCCTAAGAATCGTTTCAGGATCATCAATACCTATCAATTTGTAGCACATAATTTAAGAAATTCGATAAAATGCATATGCAGAAAGAGTATATCAAAAGTCATAATTAGCAGACCTTGTTCTTCAAAATCATGGATCAAGGCTGTAATCTTCTCCATGATCCATTCTTCTGAGGGACTACTGAGATTATCCTCTTTCATTTTAAGTGATTCTTTCCTAGAACCTTGCTTTAAATTTGATGTTTGTGAAGATGTATCCTTACCCCTTCGCTGGCTTTTCTTAGATTTGGTAGAAGTATGCTCTTGGTTATTAGCACCACTTTCAGGTTGATTTAATAATGTGTTTCCAGTGGCTTTCCCTTTTTTCTTCTTTGGTCCTTTATCAGCATGCTTGTTGGAACCACCGCCACTTGCCATTTCACTGGACTCACTCAACCTGCTTGAATAATACCCTGCTTTTACTTCATTGGCTATTGGTAAATCACCAGGTTTTTACAGAACTTGAAATTATCACCGTTAAGCGTCGATGCCATAACATTCATTAACATGATGGAACAGAACTTGAAATCCAAAAGCAGCGCAGCATACAAAGTGCAGATCAATTATAATAGACAACAGTAACATAACTATACGGATAATGCTAAGACTTCTGAATCTCGACCGTACGCTAATTATCTCTATGCTAACAAATTCCACACAAAGCTACAAGCAGGCTGAACAAATTTCAGCATACCAAGACTTCATATAGCTTACAAGTTATTTACAAAGAGGTGGTCATAAACTTATAACATGTATAAAAACAATGTGAACCGCACGCTCACGACACACTCCAAACCAAAACATGCAGATTTCATAACTTCAATACACATAAGAATCACCAAAAACTTAAATATACCACAAAGTTTAACTCTGAATCTCTTATCACGACCAAACGTAGCTAACAATCAAAGCATGTGAACAAGGAAGAAAAGTTGGAAATCTCATAACAGTCAAAACTGTGATTACAAAGATAAATTTAGAGCAGTAACACTTAGGAAAAAGAGAAATGATAATATCATATTCATCAAGATATTGGAATACAAAATACACATAACTCACTTCGTATCGGAACCAACAAAGCTCCATTTCCCTTCCTTTCCACCTTCTTCAACCTCACCTCCTTTCAATTCCTCTATACGCATAGTTCACTTCCAAATCAGATCAACAATTACAATTTACAATAACCTAATTCACAAATTGTAACCAGTTATCAACACCCCCTTCACGTATATCCTATCCACGATTTTATTACAATAACGAAAATAATAACGAAAAAGAAAATCGATTATCCCAAATTGAAATTTGGGGATCGCAGAGTCGATGATGGAAACCTAGAAATTCGAAATTCTACAACAACAATAACTGGAACGAGGAAAACGAGAGAGAAAAAGAGGTTGATTCATAAAATAGAAATAGAAAATTTCCATGATCTATCAGAAGATGGATGAGTGGTTGTTAAAATTTTCAAGGACGTGAGCGGCAAATTCTTAAAAAGAATTGAAAAATACGTGGAAAGAATTCTCATTTTTTGCGGGAAGATGAAATTTTGGAGTACGATGGTTGGATATCACCATCACAGATGAAATTTTGACAATTTTAAAGATGAAATTTTGGAGCACGACGGTTGGATATCACCGTCACAGATGAAATTTTGACAATTTTGAACTAACGATAACGACTGTAGCTTCCAATCATAATACAGTTTTATTTTAATAAATTTTTTTATTTCTCTATTTTAACTGAATTATTTTGTTTATTTGATATTTTATAATATTATGATTATGAGTATATATAGTTTAATTTTATATTTAATTTTTATTATAAAAATTGTTTCTAAAATTTTCATATATAGTTTAACTTTAATACTTTAATTTTGGATATAATATTTTGAATTTAATTTTTACTATAAAAATTGTTTTTAAAATTAAAGTTTTATTTTGAATATATATAATATTTTCATTTTTATGTATTTTAAGTTTAATTTATTACTATAATTATATTTTATAAATGATTTTAGTCATTTATTTATTTAAAAAACACAGACATATTTAGATCTGCCATTGGTTATAGTTTGTGTTACTGGGTTTAAGGGGCGACAGTTGTTCTACCGTCGGGACATAAAATTTAGGGCGGCACTTGAGACAGTCATGTACTTATTTGTAGGACGGCTTAATGATAACAATCGTAATATTTAATAATCTTTTAAAAATATAAGGACGGTAGGTGTATACTGTCGTGAAACGCGTCTCTATATTAGAGTTAAGACAGTTATCAAGTAACTGTCGCAATTTTTGTGTCGTAAAACTTTAATTTTCTTGTAGTGTTCTCTTCCTTATGCGTTGCTCGATGTGCATCTGTTGCACCTTCAAAAAGAGGATTCACCATGTTCTTGATCATTTCAACAACATCTTGATAGCCAAACAACACTTTCATTTGTTTTCACCATTTATCGTAATTCTTCGCATCAATAATGAATAGGTTTGCAGGGATTCTTCACTGGTGACAAAGTTCATGCTACACACTAGATGTTTAAGGATCAAAATCATGCTCTTGATGCCAAATATTAGGACTTGAAACCACAAGATTGTTGAATAATAGAGAAATTAGAGTGGAGAGAGAGAGAGAGAGAGAGAGAGAGAGAGAGAGAGAGAGAGAGAGAGAGAGAGAGAGAGAGAGAGAGAGAGAGAGAGTATTTTTCTTAACATAGACGAGGATGTCTCCAAGACAAGACATTTATACGACATTACGATATAATTGAGACCCAAGTTACATAAGGCAAATAACAGAAAAATTAAATTCTCGAACATATAATCGGTTACACATTTGTTATGGCGGTTAGAATCAGAAAATAACAAACAGTAATAACTAGTTACTACGAATACATAATAAGTTACAGCAACTCCAAAAACACTTTATTTTTAATTTATTTAATTTATTTTGACACTTGTAACCGGTTACATTCAAATATTAACCTATTACACTTCTAAAATTACTTAAAACACTTAACGACTGCAACTTTATTTTGTTGGTTTACAAGAGTTTAATGTGGTTGTCTACAGTTTGGTGCAGTTGATCCAAGTGAAATAAAATTATATTCTAAGTAAATAATATTGTTTTTCGTCAATAATTCAACTTTCTTAAAACTGTAAACGATCTACAAGTCATTATCAAAATTTGAATGGAATAGTAGGTTGAAACGTGATTAAGATATACCATCACCCATTAATTAATTCTACCAAGTAATAATGATTAATATGAATGAGTAAAACCCTCCCCCATTTGTTACCTTTCCTTTACCAACTTTACGGTTTTGTGCTCACTTTTCTACTTACAAAGCCCTGCAGAGAGACCACAGTTATAGAAAAGTGTTAAAGCCACACTCTGAATATACAAATCATCTTCTCTTTAAAAACTTCATAACTAGTTTCCTAAAGTTGAAACTTTTTAATAAAACTTTATTACATATGTACTTTCCGGTGATCTACCTCGGATTTTAACCCAGACTTAATATAATCCGTCCCGGTTAAACACATACTCAATAATTTCAATTTTAATACATTCAGTTTTTGATTAATAACTTAAATGGGTAACCTCGATCAAACCGGACCAAGTTTAATACATTCAATTTTTGATTAATAATTTAATTTTATATAGATTAATAGTCCTAAATCGCCGGTGACATTTGCAGGTCTGACTGGCCTAATACAGGTAGAGTTATCAATCAACGAACCCGGCATGTACAATAGAGTACAAATTGAGAAGACAATTTACACTAACCAAAAGGATTGTTTAACTATATTAACACATTACATGATAATATATACACATTACATACTGAGGTGCACTATATCAGCAAACCTTAATTGACATAGAAGATACCTAGTTAATGTACATAGAAAGAAATAAACGAACAAAAGAAACAAAGAAAGGCACACTTCAACTTTTACACACACACACATTTCCTCATGTCTAAGCAAAGCCTAGCTCTATGTGAGAGTTCTCTCATATTTTATTATACATCTTACCTTTCCATTATTACTATATTTTAGGATTCATTCATGTCATTTATACACTTCTTATGGAAAATAAGGATAACTCCAAAGGTTTTGATCATCACACACATAACTCTCTGGTGTATCATCGTTACTCGGAAAGTCGAAACGAGGAGGACTAAGTAGCATTCCTTCCGCCATATTAGCCAAAACATTAGGCATATCAAAGATCAAATCCTCATCAATAAATTCATTAACATTATAACTATTCTCATTCTCACCAACAGAAAAAAAATCTTGTGGAGTCGCCATTGTTGCATGGTTCATATCATTTCCCACATTAATATTCACAAGAGCATCCTCTGCTGCGCCTATGGCGGCTGCAGCACTGGCTGCAGCCGTCTGAATATCGTGCGCAGAGGATGAAGCAGGAACAGGTAAAGAAGAAGAAGAGTTAGGGAAATTCAGTTCTGCATTTTTACCCTTAAGAGCAAGAGCAGCTACATCATAAGCAATAGCTGCCATCTCAGGTGTTGGAAATGTTCCTAACCAAATCCTGTTAGGTTTTTTAGGTTCACGAATTTCAGACACCCATTTTCCGTTACTTCTACGCCTCACTCCACGGTACACCGGATGACGTCCGGTTGAAGCTTTGCCCGAGGTCGACGACGATGCATGAGTATTAAAGTTTTCAGACATGGTGTTGTTGTTGTAGTATTTTTAGTAAAGAGATTCAGTGACAGTTGGTAGTTGAGGAAAACGGTTGAAGCCATGTATTTATATGTCGATGAATTTGGATATTTTTTAGGGTGAAAAGATGATAGCTGGAGAAGGATTTGAAAGTTGAGAGATGAAAGTGCAAACCAGTTATGGTGTGTGAAGGATTTAGGGTGTAGACAGCTTGGAGTGTATGATATCTGGGTTGGAGACCGCGTTTTGTAATTCACAAGATCGAAAATAAAAAGGAAAATTTTGTTCTATTAATAGTGATTTTGCACTTTCTTGTGCACACTGATATATATACACTGCACTATCACTAACACTGATAACACTCTCCATTTGGTTTTTTCTTCACTCTTTTTCAACAAGGGTTTGATGTAATGAAGAAAACATTTCACTTTGTTTTAATATTAGGAAAATTGTATGTTTCATATTTTAGAGTTTTGTTAGGTAAGAATAATTTGTAGGCAATATTTTAATTAAATTCTGTGATATTTAAAGTTCACCTTATTATTATTATTATTTTTATGATTATTATGGAAACACGTATATTAAACGGGGAAAATCGATAGTGGCAAAATTTCATCAAATGAGGCTTTACTATTTGTTTTCGTTTATTTTGTTTTAATTAGGTAGGGTTTTGTGCTTGCTGTTGAGAGTGTTGGTGGTATAGCAACTGATGTTGATAAAGAGAACAATACTTTAGAACAGTGTTGTTAGTTTCACTTTCGTTTGCCCAAGTGGCCAACTCTTATTTTAATTTGTCATCTTAAATATTTTAAATTTTGTTTTTAATCTTTTAAAATACTTTTTTTTAAAGAAAATTGTTCTTATAATTTTTCATCTATATTTTTGTTTTTTTTCTGCAATTTAAGAACGGTTTTTACATCTTAGTAATATTACTTAGCCATAATTTTAGTGACAAGTTTTATATTAGAAACAAAAAATGTGCATGGAAAATTTTTGAAGAAATATTCTTTGAAAAAATATTTTAAAGGACTAAAAGAAATAATTTGAGATATTTAGAAGAAGATTTAACCCTATATTATATTATATAGTATATATATCATAAAAGTTTCAAATATTTTTTTTTTATGTATATATTAGTTGTGCTATGGAAATATAATAGGTAGAGTTGTTAAAATAGGTTATTCGGTCTTAAACGGATTAGTCCTAATGAGTTCAGGATTTTTAGAATTGAGTAAAGAAAAAAACGTTGTAATATTGGTTAAAAAGTACTACCCAAGTCTGTTTCTAGATGGGTTTTGAGCTACCTGACATTAAATGAGTTTTTTTTTAAATAAAAAATTAAAATAAAAACCGAATAATACTTATTTTAAATAAAATTAAATATTATATTATTTTAAACATAATATATTTTTTAGTACTATATTATCTTTTATAAATACTATAGTGTGTTTTTAAATGAAACACGTCTTTAAAATGAATAAAATAATATTCAAATATTTAGTATAAGAAAAATTAATAGAATACGAGGAAAGAATGTTGATTATATTATTGTATAAAATTTAAAAGAGAATGATTGAATATAATATCGATAAAATTTAATGAAGTGAGAAAAATCAATGTGTTATTTTGGAATAAGACAATATAAATATTAATATATATATATTTTTTAATTTATACATATGAGTTCCTAACAGGCTACTCACGATCCATACGAGCTAACTCAATGATAGCGGGCTTTTTAGAGTTGGGTTAAAAGAACGCTGAAAAATATGGACTTTATATTTAAAGTTTAAGCCCTATGATTTTTCGGGCATGATAGGGCGGCCCATATGGGCTAACCCATTTTGACAAATTTAATAACATTCACATGATACTCAAAGAATCTTTATGTCATCTCCAAATTATATTTGGCACCCTCACGGAGTCTATGTTATTACTACTATGTTATTACCATATTAGTCTTGAAAAACATTATATTTGTGTTTGTTGGCGAGTAAGTATAAAGTTTTACAGTACTTGTAGGTATTATTCATATTTTTTTCATTATTTTCGGATTTTTCAAAATGTGAGATAAAAATGCATTCATTTTTTCAGATTTTTTAAAATATCCAGAAAAATGGATGCATTTTTACCTCATATTTCAAAAAATCCAGAAAAAAGATGCATTTTTACCGTACATTTCATAAAATCCAAAAAACTAGATGCATTTTTACAGCACATTTTGAAAAATCCAAATGTGGGTATGCATCGTTACAGCACATTTTGAAAATCCAAAAAGTTTAAAATTTCTAGATTATTTGAAAAATCCAGTAGACTAAAAAAAGTTGTTTTGTTTTTTTGTGAAGATCAAAGACATAGATGGTATGATTATATGTCGACTGCACGATATAGTTGCTATGAGGTTCAAGAGAGGTGAGGTAATATAAAGGACTCGCATCTTAGGGCATGGAGAGGGGCACCGTTCGATTCTCACATGAGGCGGCTGCCGATCAGGCTCAGTTTCGTGCATCTCGTACTATCCAACGTAGATGATCTCGATCTGCTTCGGTATTGGCGAGTAAGTATAAAGTTTTACAGTACTTGTAAGTATTATCCATATTTTTTTTTATTATTTTCGGATTTTTCAAAATGTGCGATAAAAATGCATTCATTTTTTCAGATTTTTTAAAATATCTAGAAAAATGGATGCATTTTTACCTCATATTTAAAAAAGTCTAGAAAAAAGATGCATTTTTACCGTACATTTCATAAAATCCAAAAAAATAGATGCATTTTTACAGCACATTTTGAAAAATCCAAATGTGGGTATGCATCGTTATAGCACATTTTGAAAATCCAAAAAGTTTAAAATTTCTAGATTTTTTTAAAAATCCAGTAGACTAAAAAAAGTTGTTTTGTTTTTTGTGAAGATCAAAGACATAGATGGTATGATTATATGTCGACTGCACGATATAGTTGCTATGAGGTTCAAGAGAGGTGAGGTAATATAAAAGGACTCGCATCTCAGGGCATGGAGAGGGGCACCGTTCGATTCTCACATGAGGCGGCTGCCGATCAAGCTCAGTTTCGTGCATCTCGTACTATCCAGCGTAGATGATCTCGATCTGCTTCGGTATTGACGAGATATGTTGAGGATCAACCAGTTAATGTGCCTCATCTAACAGAGACAAATGTACCCGATCTTGCAGAGATAAAGGTTGCTCATACTCCTGAGATGGCAGAGGTGTCATATCCTTCTAAAGCAGAGGCAACAACTACTACAGAGGTCACTCTAAAGACTGCTTAGGCATCACCTACTAATATTATGGATGTTATATATATATATATATATATATATATATATATATATATATATATATATATATATATATATATATATATATATATATATATATATATATATATATATATATATATATATATATATATATATATATATATATATATATATATATATATATATATATATATATATATATATATATATATATATATATATATAAAAGACTCTATATTTGGTTTTTTCTTCTCACTTTTTTAACAAAGGTTAGATGTATTGTAGAAAACATTTGATTTCGTTTTATTATTAGGCAAATCGTATATATGATATCTTAGAGTTTTGTTTCAAATGAGGCTTTCTCTCTCTCTTTTTTTTTTTTTTTGGTTTTAATTAGGTAGGGTTTTGTGCTTGCTGTTGAGTGTTGGTGATATAAAAACTGATGTTGATAAAGAAGACAATACTTTAAAATAGTGTAGGTTTCACTTTGTAAGTACCAGTGGGCTACTCTTAGGTTTTTAGTTTTTAAATTATATTATATTATATTATAGGATTAAATATGTTTGTACTCTTCAAAATATTTTAAATTTCATTTTAAATTTTTCATATATTTCTTTTAAAGAATGGTTCTTCTAAAATTTCATCCTCACTTTTGATTTTCTCCTGTCAATATTATCATGATCGAGTGTTGGGTTTTAAGATCTTTCAATCCTAAGTGTAGAAATTGTCTTTTAGTGCTACGATCTGAGAAAAACTTTTTTCCGTGTACTTTGTAGTTACGATTACGATCTTACTTGTTGAAATTGTCATTTATATGCATATCATGATATGAGAATACAAAATATCTTAGTTGATTAGATTTGTTTGTAAAATATATGGTTTTTGAGCTACTTATTTTGAACAAAATCTTTTTAACTTGTTAAAGTATGGAATGATTGTTGAGTTATTTTGTGATGTATTATAATTTTCTTATTTTTGTGTGTGAATATATATATATATATATATATATATATATATATATATATATATATATATATATATATATATATATATATATATATATATATATATATTAGTTGTGCTATGGATATGTACCACGCACGTGATACTCAAGGAAACTTTTTGTCATCCCTAAATTGTACATCACATCCACACACTCTATGTTTTTACCATATTTGTTTTGAACAAAATTATATTCTCTTTCACAAAAACTATTGGGGGAATTCAAATTTTTATAAAATCTCTATAATTTATCGGACATTTCACATTCACTACAAGATATTTTGCGTTTGATGATGAGTAAGTGTGATTTTTCACCGCACTTTTATGTATTTTTCAGATTTTTGTTCATTGTTTTCAGATTTTTCAAAATGTGCGATAAAAATGCATATACTTTTCTGGATATTTTGAAATGTCCAGAAAAAATGGATACATTTTTATCAAAAATTTTAAAAAAATCCTTAAAAATGAATGCATTTTTACCGCACATTTCAAAAAACTCAGAAAACAGATGCATTTTTACCACATTTTGAAAAATTCGATATGTGTGTGCATCTTTACCGTACATTTTAAAAAATCTAAAAACTTCAAAAGTTTCAGAATTTTTGAAAAATCTAATAGGCTAAAAAGTTGTTTTGTTCTTTTAGTGAAGACCAGAGTCTCATATGGTATGATTAATGTTCGACTGCAAATATAGTTGCTCGTAGAGCTCAAGAAAGGGGAAGTGGTGTGG